ACTTTCAGATGAGGGAACTCATCTGATCTCATTCAGGATTCTAAGAAAAGTTGTTAGGTTTACAGCTTTGGAAGTTCTATCATTTCAGTTATAATGGATGAATTGTTTTGTTATGTAGTAATGTCAATGAATTGGTGAAACATTTGTGAATGGGAAGACCTGCAGAGGAGATTTACCACCTTAAATTCTCATGAATCTTATATGTGCTTGGTCGAGGTGGAAGAAAATTCCTGTTACTATGTAATGCAGAGTTCTAAGTTAATGCTGATTTTTGTCAGCAAAATAGAGGTACACTCCAAAAATACCTTGGCTCACAAGTCCATGTGAAACTCGGATCTCTACGTTATTTCAATGACTCCATCAACCAATCAATAAAAAATAAATACATATATAAGTCCAATAAATAAATACATATATAAATAGCTGGAGCTTATGTAAAAATGTATATAACAATACTAGGTTAGTTATGTTAGTATAGCATGGTTCAGCATTAGGTCTATTTATTAAGTTACATCATCAGACTTCCCCTATCACTTTTGTTGTGCCCTCTTTTTAGTACAGCACCTCAGTGGACTGGTTGATGGCAATTCTTTAAAATTTCAAATTTAATAGTTAACTAATAATATTTGTTAGAATATTTACAAAAAAATTCCACTCATATATGACCTTACACCACAATCAGCACCAGTACCATAGGAAAAACATGTGTCAGAAATACAATAAACAAATTAAATGTTAAAATGTTAAAACATAATTTATATGTGTGTGTGTGTGTGTGTGCATGTGTGTGTACTTGTTTATGCTACATTGTGGGGACCAAATGTCTTCACAAGGATTTTAAATCCTGAAATTTTTGACATTGTGGGGACCGACCTGCGGTCCCCACGAGGGAAAACAATTATTAAAAATAGTAAATGATGTTTATCTGAAAGTGTAACAAAGCAAACAGGTTTTATGTAAGGGGTAGGGTAGGGTTAGGGTTAGGGTTGGGTTGGGTTAGGGGATGCTGCTGAAGCATACGTATATGTTCATTTTTAAAATCTATTTATTTTAATTTTTATTTATTTATTTATTGCATTGAAACGTAAAAACTATATAATTGAATTTGATTAAAAATCATTTTAAAATGTTATTTAAATGTTTGTTTAATTATTTAAAAATGTTTAAAATTTAATAAAATTTAAGATAATATGTTTGGATAGAATGCAACATTTATTTTTGGCCAAAGGCCATAACATACATTTGTTATTTGTAAAAAGGATATATACCTTTAAAGGGATACTTCTCCCAAAAATGAAAATTCTCCCATTAATATAAACCATCACTTATTTATAACAATTAATTGTCAACTTTTGGGTGAATATCCACTTGCATTATATGGACACAGAGATGGATTCTTTTTCCAAAAATCTTTATCAGAAGAAGGTAAAGTCATATGGTGTGAAGCTAAATAAATGATGACAGAATTTTCATTTTTTTGGATAGACTATCCCTTCAAGACCCCCAAACCACAATTGGCCCCCATAATTAGCTAATAGGACTTAGCACCCTGGTTTAAACAATTCAAAAGATATTTAATGTATTTCACGTCTTTATAGGTATCTCAAACTCAATTTTGATGGCGTCATGGAGCTACTCATAAAAATAATTATTATTATTTGAGCTCATCAAGGTTTTAATTATTATGTTGAGCATCTTGGAGAATGAAATTTGAAGAACAACACTTTTTTTTTTTATGAAATCGAAACTCAAAGTAGCTACTTAGGTTAAGTCTCAGGCTACCTGTCGGGGGAAAATCCTGGTGACTCACCTCCCCACCATAAAAATGAGATGCAAAGGAGCCACTACAAGCAATTTGCCTTCTAAGCACTGCAGAAGAAAGGATACACTGTAACAGATTCTATAGGACATTTTGTAACTATGGATTCATCATTATTATTGGTATTTTGCGTGGCGTTATCAGCGCTGTCAAGCGCCAGTGGAGCTCCTGCGCGCTCAGCTGGTGAGGTGAATTTCTCGGAGTGTAAAGCGCTGTCCATCAAACTCAATGAGATGGCGAGAGATTTATACATCACGGTACGTACAGTAAGGATGTAGATCTATTCATTTTACAATAACTTATCTTCATTTCTTTTAAGATTTTTTTCAGACACCTTCTTGAGTTCTTAATAATAATAACGCATTTTATGCTCAATGCAGGTTGAGTCTCCAACAATTTCAAGTATCATTGATGACCCTCCAGTGTCTATAAGACCGATTGACACATGTGACCCACTGAGCCTCCAAAGCAACAAAGAGGTAAATAACGGAATAATTCAGATGCATGTTTTTATAGTAATGATTTTCTCATTTCTCTTGTAGATCAACTATAACTTTTTGACAGGAATGAGAATATTTGTAATGCTATTTAACAACATTCCAATTGTTCACCTAATGAAGCGTTTTTAAGAAAAAATAGGGGAAAAAACTCCATAAAAGTTTTTAAAGTTGTGAAAATTATAAACTTTTATACAGCGTGAGCGATTGTAGTTGTAGCATCTCTCACAGCCTCATTTTCATCCACATAAAATTCAATATGACATCTAACCTGACTAAGGTCTATACCAGTGTTTCTCAACCCTGGTCCTGGGCGCCCCCCAGCACTGCACATTTTGTGTGTCTCCCTAATCAAACACACCTGATTCAACTCATTAGCTCATTAAAAAAGAAACTCCAGGACCTGAAATGTGTGTCAGAAAAAGGAGACATACAAAATGTGCAGTGTTGGGGGGCGCTCAGGACCAGGGTTGAGAAACACTGGTCTATACAAAAAAGTGTTTACTTTGACAAATGTTGTAATTTGTCCCTATGTGTCTTGCATTTCAGACTTGTCAATCAAGAATTGTTCTTGCTCTGAAAAACTACACCAGAATTTTCCACAAGAATGGCGTGTTTAAGAATTCAGCTTGCAGTGAGTGGAGAGCGCGTGCCAACGAGATCGCAGACGTTACCGGAGACCTCCTGCGCATGCTTAAGGTAGGCCTATGTCTGTTTTTATTTAAAAATCTTTGCTATTGTTTCATGTACTTCCTTTTGATATAATGTCTGGACACCTGCCACCAGCAAGAGGCACAAAGTTGTTCCCACATCCTTATCTGTTATCCTCCTGGAAAGTTTCGTATGTAAATTGTTGCTGCATCGGTTTCTCTAGTAAACACTTTTAATTTCATTATTGTTCTTGTTTGATGATCAGGAACCAGTGGTGGACCATCCTTTGACTGCAGTGAACTGGTATGACAACGCTCTGTGCCGGGACAGCGTGGAAAGGCTCTACTCCTTTTCTATCATATCTGCACGCGTCTTCTCATTTCTGGCGTCCACAGAAGCTCCTAAAGTTGAGATGAAACAGTGTTAGATTGAGAGGAAAAAGACTGATACATATCAGTTGTGATCATATTGGTCAAAACGTTCAAACAGCTTTTGCTGCTTCTTCAAAGGTTCTCCTGTGTTATAATAACATGGATTTAATAACATCTTGCGTTAACATTAAGAGTTCATGCTTGACATGAGGTGAAATATTTATAGAACTATTTATTGTGTTCTTATTTATTTCTATATTTATTGTCCAATTTTATTACAATGTGTAACATGTTTTTGAATAACTTCCAAAGAAGTGTGTAATTTATAGCTAATAAATATATCAACAAGTCTTCTATTGTCTTCATTCATGTGTAGCCTATTTTTTGTTGAGGGAACAAATAAATTAATTGAAGAACTAACATGTAGGCAAATTACTTTTACTAGTACTACTGTACTAGTATGCTCTAATCAACAAGGAAATGACTGAGCGAATGTGGTCAAATTTCCCAGTCTGGTCAACAGCTCTCTGTAAAAAGAGAGGGAAGATGTGATTTCCATAAACATTCATGCTACGTTTTACGGCGGTATGAAGCTTCCTGCAAAATATGTCCCAAACTCAGAGATTCTGTCGCCACTCAGTTCTCTCAGGAACGTGTGTGTGTTGTCCTGTCAAGAATGAAGTCATACCTACAAAAGGGAACTTGGATTACCAACAAACACACAAAACAAGCAAAGACAGAGTTCACATTATTGACTTATTACAGCACTGTTGTTTCCCTTTTGACAGGAAAGACACATAGAACAACAAATTAAAAATATATTTCAAAGAAAAATTTTAACAAATAATAGAGTGAAAGCATCATCATCAGATATATTCTGACATCACTGCTAAAATATCATTCTTATCATTCTTCTAATTATGACATAGGCTACATGTGTGAATTTTGTCCTGTGGTCACAGTATGTGAAAAGGAAGTAGGAATCTTGCCACTACCAGTGAATCTATAAAAACTCTAGATATCACCTCTGATAACTTCTTTCACTCATGAAATATTTTTAATACAGTCTATTAATATTTTTTTAAATGTTAAAAGTTTAATTTGTCAAACGTACAACATAAATGACAATGTCAGTACTTGTGGAAGTGTAATAAAATATACAAGCTTTACTACAAACTAAGAATTATGAAGATACAAACATATTAAAAGAAAAAAGTAATACAAACACAGTAAATAATATTTATTTTATATTACTCTATATTACTAGGCTATAGCCTATTATATTAATATATCTATATTACTTTATATTACTCTAATTATATTAATTAGATCATATTAGATCAGATCATATTAGAATACTTGAGAATAAAAAAATAAATAAATTACATATCCTTACATAGACATCCTTACAAGCTGACATATCTAAATAAACTCTTACGCAAAAATACCCTGGTAATAAAATTTGAAATAAAAATACTTTTAAATACTTGAAATTAAAATTAAAACAAGGTAAAATACGTTTTAAAATAAATCCTCGTTGTAGTAATGGTCAGAGGGCGGATAAAATCTATGGCTGTGTTTCAAACCTAGTGCGCTGCTTGCTAGACATCGTCATCGGCTCTGCCCGGCACGCGCTTAGGATGCTGTCTACGCAGGCGACTCGCTAGGTTTTCAAACACAGCCGCAGACTGTCTATTTCCTGGTTACTTCGCAAGGTGGGTGGCTGTTATATGACAACATTAGCTCTTTATTTACACTATTTAATGTACTTTAACTTGCATTTTGAGCAATTTTGATTGCTGGTTTCATTTGTGTTTCAAACATGGCTCTTTTTCATGGAGCCATTTCTTCAGCTTTTATCAGCAGCGACTGAACTACTATTGAATCCACTAGCCGGATAGCTAACAGTGTTCGGATGACAAATCTGCATGAACGTTGTACATACTATAAGTACATATTAGACTCGGTCGGTCGTATACACCCCTAAATAAACCACAAACAAGTTATGGTTGCAGAGGTTAATGTTATATAATTGTGATAACGAATGTCTCATTGTAAAGAGTGTGGTCTTTGTTAAAAGGCATCCTAATTTGTTTTTTAATGGCTTTCTTTGGGTGTTTGCATGAAGCATATCACGGCTGTTGTTTTCGTGCAGGATGAATGTGGGCGTTGCTCACAGCGAGGTGAACCCAAACACGCGGGTGATGAACAGCCGGGGGATCTGGCTGGCCTACCTGCTGCTCACCACTGCCCTGCATGTGGTCCTACTCAGCATCCCTTTCCTCAGTGTGCCTGTGGTGTGGACGCTCACCAATGTCATACACAACCTGGTCAGTCCATGCAAGAAATCTTTAAAGGAATAGTTAAGGCAAAAATTAAAATTTGCTGAGAATTTACTTTCCCTCAAGCCATATAAGATGTAGATGAGTTTGTTTCTTCATCTTCAACAGATTTGGCGAAATGTAGCAGTATATCAGTTGCTCGCCAATTTAGCTTCAGTAGTGAATGGGTGCCGTCAGAATAAGAGTCCAAACAGCTGATAAAATACATCACAATAATCCACAAGTGATCCACACAATTCCAGGCCATCAATTAGTCCATCAAAGTCATCTACATCTTGGATGGCTTCAGGGTGATTAAATAAATAGCACATTTTCATTTTGGGTAAACTATTATTTTAAAATGATTTCGCTCTCTTTTTTTGGAGGAATAGTTCACCCAAAAATGAAAATTTGCTGTAAATGTATTCACCCTCAGGCCATCCAAGATGTAGATACTTTGTTTCTTCATCTGAACAGTTTTGGAAAAATTTAGCAATATTTCAGTTGCTCACCAGTTCACCCTCAGCAGTGAATGGGTGCCGTCAGAATGAGAGTCCAAACAGCTGATAAAAACATCATGATCCACAAGACTCCAGCCCATCAATTAGTCCATCAAACTCAGCTACATCTTGGATGGCCTCAGGGTGATTAATTAATTAGCACATTTTCAGTTTTGGGTAAACTATTTCTTAAAAAAAAAAACATTTTCACTCTTAAAGAGAGAGTTCACTCAAAAATGCTGTCATTATTTACTCACCCCCATTGTCTGTCCTTCATAGAACACTAAAGCAATAATAAAAGCATCAGCTAAATGACACATTAGTAACATTAATAATGCCACGTCAAGCTTGAGTAATTGTTATAGTCTATGTAGAATAAACAAATTAGTTCAGTGGTCAAGCGTTAACTCACTTCTCTGCCGTCTAGGCGATGTATCTGTTTTTACATACTGTCAAAGGCACGCCGTTTGAGACGCCGGACCAAGGCAAGGCACGTTTGCTCACTCACTGGGAGCAGATGGACTATGGTGTCCAGTTTACAGCGTCAAGAAAGTTCCTCACCATCTCACCTATTGTACTGTGAGTAATATTCATATTTCTGTAGTAACTGACAGAAATAGGACTATATGCACTTACTAAACTACTTTATTACTTCTTATAATCAGTAATTAAAATTACTTATTGTTTTTTACAATTCTATATCAACTTTTATTATTTTGTTTATATCTTTATTGTATTTTTTTTATAATTATATATTATTTATTTGATGTTCTCAATTATATATAATATTTTACAGTAAAATCATTACATTTAATTATAATATTTACATTAAATGCTGTTATTTTTTTCATAGGTACATCTTGGCCAGCTTCTACACCAAATATGATACTGCTCACTTCGTAGTCAACACAGGTTCACTACTAAGTGTCCTCCTTCCCAAGTTGCCTCAGTTTCATGGAGTTCGTCTGTTTGGTATAAATAAATACTGATAAGACACTTCAGGCCACTCTTGGATGGGATGTAGCATCATGGAGATGAGATGAGATGACTGAAATTCCTTTATTCTCTATATGATGCTTCCTTGGTCCAAAGTCGTAAGGCCTTAAGGAACCAAAACTGCACTGGACTAAAGTACACTATTTAAAAAAGGCCTTCCATGCTCAGGTTTATTCAACTTGTGGCGTTTCTTTTTTTAAATCCTGTCTTATGTCTGTAATTTCTCTTCATCATAATCTCTAGATCTCCATCATAATTTCTAGATTCATCACATTCAAGGATGTTTTTGACTGCATTGCACCAGACAATGTGCCAGTTATCATCTGCTGATATTCTTTGCATAAACCTATTTGCCACAACAAGCTCCGTCACTGTGGGGGCAAAACATGATAGTTCTGAATTATAATATTCAGAGTTTTTGTCAGTGTTCTAGTATATATACAACATGGACAACTGCAGTAAATAAGTTATGTTGAATTATTAGAAAAACTGATTTAGATTTTTCATTTAATTTCCTCCAAAAATGCAAAACTGATCTGTGACAATGTATGAATGTGATATGATAAACAATCTTAAAGTGCTCACTTAAAAGTTTATTGCTTTAGTTTCTCGTAGAGCACTGTTATATTAGATTTCTTTGAATTCCTGTATTTATTTAATTTGTTATCATATCATGAAACATTCCAATTTGAAGCAATTGCCATAGTGGGCATACATTATTGTTATAGATTTTTTTTAAATGTTCATGTCTGCATGGATCAAATTTGTTCACAATACAAAAGTGAAAGTATGCACAGTGGGGAACAAAAGTCTGAGACCACATTGAAAATGTAGTATTCAAAATCTAATAGGTGGAAAGTTTTAGAATGTTTAAAAATAAAACACAAATATACAAATGGTATATTCTGCCCTTTTTATATTCTCTATGTTCATTTCTTTTTGTGAAATATGTACAGAAGGACAAGATGGTCTTTGGATGGTTCTCAAGTAATGTTGAGATCACGATCATCAAGCTTTACACAAAGTTGTGGAGTTCATACAGCGCATTGAAATATTTGAACTATCTGAAAGTCAATGTTTTGTTAAAATTTGAGATGAATTTTTTTTTTACTTTTGGACCCCACATTGTCACAATATAACGTTTCAACATCAAATTTCCGGTTTAGTATGTTCAGTTTTTTTCAACCCAGTTGTAATGTGTTGCACTGATGTACTTAAAGGGGTCATATGATGCTTTTTAAAAGATCATTATTTCAATAGCAAATACTTAAACTAATAGCAAAACATACTTACAGTAGCTGATTCAGAAGTGCCAGATTGTCATAGCAAAGTCAGAATTACCTCCTCTCCTAGGTTCACGAAACGGTCGTCCATAAAATGCATTGCTGTTCTGTTGTAAGTAATCTTAAAGATTCCTAAATGCATCTACTTTCGGAAGGCTAAATAAAGTGCTTTTGCTTTCGCCTAGAAACACACAGCGTCTCCTTGACATGGCTGCTTCAACACTAACTGCTGTTCCTGAAACCACGCCTTCTTTCTTTGCGTGATCATTTGGGCGCATTATGCAAATATTTCCACATGGTGATGTAGATATGTGGGGGCGTGTTAGAATGAGCCGTTTTAGGGGGGCGTGGCAGAGTCTTAACTTTGATAAAGAATATCTCTTTGGTTTTGAGACTTTAGTCTTTGCAACTTCAGGGATCTTATCTATGCACAATCAGCTTGTAACACTCCAAAGAGAAAGGAAAACTTGAAATCGCATCATATGACCCCTTTAAAATGGCTCTTGCACAAGATTCAGTCATGAAGTCATTTGGACTAATATTCAAAGTCTCAAATTACCTAATGTAATGATATGATATGCAAATCACTGCATACATCAATCTCTATCAAATAAATGACATTTACAGTTGCATGTGTCGGCAGTATATGGCCCTCATTACTTAGCCACCGGTGTTTATTCCATATAATAAGCACAACGTTAAGGTCTGATGCTCAGAGAGAATGGCATGAAGTTGCATCACATTGCACGGGAGCGTGTAAATCATCTAAAGCAATCATAATACTACAGGATCAATGTAACCACATGCAGATGAACAGTTAACGTGGGAATCCTCGCCTCTCACCTATTGGATAACAACAAACCACACAGGTGAACAAGGAAGAGGTGTAAGTATGAGCCACGAGGAAGCTAAACAAACACACGCCGTACACACAGCCCCGGTTGTGTCAGTCCGATGAATATAGACGCGCATTTGGATAAGTTGTGAAGGTGTACCGGGGGAAATCCGTGAGTTTTACATGTTACACACCTACACTTGGACGGGGCAAGCCCAGCGACTGCGATAAGCCGATAGCTGGACGGGAATCCCCACCTACAAGCTCAGGTGTCTCCCAGCTGCATTTCAGGGAAGAGGTAGAAGGAGGGGAATAGTGTCCTCGGCCCACCTATACCACTGATTTGCCTAGCATATGTAACACACGCTGTCTATTTAACACGGAAGCACATGCAAATAGTATTCTGACTCAGTGCGCTAGAATACTGAGGAATCCTGTGTTGTTTATAGTGACACGAGGGGAGCACCGCTGATGTCACCGCTGGAATGCAAACAGCATTTGCATGAGCTGCAGAGGAAGAACGGCAACCAGGAAGGCTGTGATATCTGTTCTTGCTTCAGCCTTTCAAAGCCGGTCGGATCCAAAACCAAAAGCTGAGGCGCTGCTGTGACAGAACAGACAATGCATCTGCTGTTTCTCGCAATTCTGCTTTCTGCGTGTTCCTGTTCCAGAGCCTGCTGTAAGAACGGCCTGCACTGATCGGTGAAGGTCAGCCAAACCACAGCATTTGTATAAAGAAATCCAAAAGGTGATCAGCCGTAAAACAGTGGTTAAAGAGGGACTGCGTCTTATTCTGCTGACGGCTACGGAATGACTTTGTGTTTTATGATTTTTACTGGTTCATTTACTGGAGAGGTGAGGAGGGAATGTAGAAGTGAGTCAGCAATAATAAAAACGAGACAGAAGAAAAGTGAAAATTTTGCGGAACCTTATTCTAAAGAGCTGATTTGAATCGGTTTAAAGCGCATGAAATAAACTGTACCTAGCATGGTGATAGATAAAAAAATAAGATGGGGAAAAAATAATATTCCAATGTGTTTGCGTTCCCCCGAGAAACTTTCTCTAGCAAAACATTTGCTTTCCTCCATAGGCTAGCAAAAATAATACTGAAATACAGTTTTTCACAAACGTTTTGCGAGCAAATGCACACTTTCTCGTAGCAACAAGTTTTCGAGAGCATTCTCAAAAGCATTGAGTGGGAGAAAAAAATATTTTCATATTTCTACGAGCAAGCGAAAGTTTTTCGGAGGAACGCAATATTTTTATGAGAGAACATACAAGTTTTGCGTTCCCCTTTAAACCTTTGTTCGCTCGCAAAAAACATTGAAATTTTGTTTTTCTAGTTCAGTGAACTAACGTCAAGTTTCTCGATGGAAAGTCTTGCGAGAGAACGCAAAAATATTAAAGTATTGTTTTTCCTCCGATTTTATTTTTCCCCATCACCATGTCCCTATATAGTGGGCTTCGCACTATAGTGATGTTCAAGAGATTGAATATAAAAAATAAAAAAACACACCCTTGATACATAATTATTCCAAAAATAAGTTTAAAGTATGAAATTATTTAATGGTGCTGACAAGGGGATTTTAAGCACATAAAAGATGTAAATCTTTAAGAGTTTCAGCAATTCCACTGTGTAAGAATGACAGGTACAGGTGTAAAAATAATTTCATTAGTTATATTTGTGCTATGGTACGTTACAACTAGGGTGGCAGTATTATCTACACTGTTTGATTTTTGTATTTAAAAAGGCTCATTCCGCTCTACTCTTGTAGGTTTTCTTGTAAAGCACAGGAATACATGTGAACACAAAACATGTTCGTTTCAACAGTGCCCTATATAAAATGTTAGATTTTATGCTGCCACCAAGTGGTCACTACAAAGACGAACATAATTTCTGAATTTCATGAGAGATTTGACCATATTTATTGGCTTACAAAGTCAAACCAATACATTAAGACACACTGTATGTATTTCTCTGCTTTTATTACTCATTCATAAAAAAATAATCCTTTGACCCTAAACAGACTTACAGCTCCAGTCAATGGCCACAAAAAACTGTATAATGTATGTGCCTCTTCCGATCCAGTATTTTAGTATTCTAAACTTACAAACAAGACACATAAAATGCAGTCCATGTAACAGCACAGCGTTCACAGTTCCCTCCTCACACAGGAAGTCTCTGCATAATTTCAAACTCAAAGATTTAAGAAAAATAAAAACAGATCATAAGAAAAATAAATCAAACAACTTTTTTGGCCCTTCTCATGAGCCATGAAAACATGGGGGCATTTTCACTGTTAATAGTCCATTATGAATGCATCAGAAACTGAAGTCATGAATAAAAACCTCCAAAAGATACATACAGAAGAACAGTGAATGCTACACTTGAACAGATCTCAGATCTGCTTAAATTAAATTCTTTCATATGCGTCATCAGTCATTTCACCCGTGTGTTGTTGAGTCGTGGAGATGCCGCACCTGGCTTCACATCATCATCCGTCTCCCAGCCCTCCTCCTCCTCCTGATTTTCCTCATCAGTGGAGAACAGCTCATCCTCAAAGAACGATCCACCCAGCCCGTACTCCTGTGTATGAACCGACACCTCATTGGACAGCAGATGTGGAGAACCCTCAATGAAGTCCGCAAACCTGAGCACAAGACAAAAATCAAATCTGACTCATTACATTCTTTCAATATATTCATTTTTGGTCTTATTGAGCATGTTTCTTTAATATTCTGAAGTCAGAATTATACTAAAATGTCTTTTAATTGCTAAATTATGACAGAATGTATGTAGAGAAGAGTTTTCAGCAAAGTTTTGATCTTGTTGATAATTTTGCGTATCAAATACGATACAGTAGGCTTTAAGCAAGCAACCTAAATTAGATAATTTGGCATTTTAGGTTTCTCTAAAGACATTCTCCATAAAAGGCATAATTTTATTAACACTATATACTTGTTTCTCAAATATCCTCTCATACCTCTGAGGAGACTGGATCCTGGAGACAGTCTTCCAGGTGTTGAACTCAGGACTGCTGCAGTATTTCCTAAGCTCCTCTAGAGCTTTCTGAGTCTCCACCTCTGACTGTCTCTGATATTCCTCTTCTGTCAGTAGATGGCGTGGCTCGAGTTTCTTTGGCTTCAGCTTCCTTCAGAGAATTCATTCAGCAAGAAGACAATGACTACGTTGCTTAACATGTACTTGAACAGCATTTATTAAAGTTGTATACTCACTGATAAAGCATGAAGACCTTGGTAGAAGGGTACTCCATGTTCTTGGAGCAGAATGCAGCTATCATGATGGCCAGAGCCACTTGCTGGACCTGAATTCCAGCGTACACCAGCAGAAGGCCGAAGATCTGCAGCGTCCAGGACAGGATGTTGATACTTCGCTTATCCACCAGGGGGCCATAGCGGTAACACACTGCAAAACTGATGAACCCAACCACAATGCTATAACCTAAGCATTTACAAAATAAAAAACAATCAGCAACTGATGTACTTTCAAGACTAGCATAAATACAAAAGAAAATGTTTTTATTAAAATAAAACATTAAATAAAATTACATTAAGCAAAATAACTCAAATGTTAGTAAAATTCCAATAAAATAAAAATAATAGGCTGTTTGCACATGAAGTCAAGGGGTGGCGTGAAATGCAGATGGAGGGCAGGAAGTAATTTTCTACATAGTGCACTATCAAATGTTTTACGTCGTTTTATGGTTGCTCAAATCGATCAATCCAAGGAACCACAAGGAGCTTTTATCATGTACCAAAAGTTGTAGTTCATCAGGGGGGAAAATGAAAGAATTTGACTGAAAAACACAGGAAAAGTGGCTTGTAAACCTGCATCTGCAGTCGGGAGGAGCAGAGTCTGAAAACGCTTGTCTGTGCAGTGACAAATTTGTCAAGTTAATATAACTTACATATGTACCCACTAACAAAAAAAAGTTGTTTACTTCTATACTTTTTATGATTTAATTTATTTCTGGAGTGATAGGATGTCTGTGCCCGGTTGCATAAAGCACCTTAAGTGTTACACGGGGCAAGCAGGTTCAATCCAAGTCTTCTAATAAGACA